CAAAAAAACTGAGGAGTCGGAGTCGGAACATTTATCTCCCGACTCCACAGCCCTGATATTTCCCACTATTAAATTTTACAAAATTATTTTCCTAGGAGTCAATTGAAGAATTCAGAATAATATATAATTATAACTAATGCAGCATGTATATAAAATACTTTGGAGTCAAAGGACTGCATCCTGGAATGTCCTAATCAGAGCTCCGGATTGACTATTCTGCTTGTTCCAGAAGTGGTTCTATCTCAAAATAGCTATCACAATTTATTTCATGTTCAAAATAGCCATTCCAAAGTCAGACCATTTCTGGCACCCATGAAATATCTTGTACACTTCTGTAGTATTAACTATACAGAATAATTGAGAAGTGATATTATATACTGATTAAGCAAAATGGAAAAATTGCTACTTAATGAAACCATAAGTTCCTGAAGTAACAAAGAAACACAGGAAGGGGAGATCCTGAATGCCCCCAACTATTGAGGCTTTTATTCAAGTTACGGAAATGTTCAGATTGCTGAATCCACCAACATTTTCCCAAAAAAAATTATATATGTAAAAGGCCCATATAAAGGAGTGCCCCACAAGTGAAAATGCTCCTCAACCAAACATGGCATCAAGAACGCCACAAAAATTGAAGTATTTTATAGAGAAAGTGAAAACATAAGACAGAACCTTTATACCTACGACACTGTGTGGAGTATGGAAAATCAAGATAAACATATGAGTTAATAAAACATGTTTCTAGAATCCTTATGGGAAAAAGATAGATGAAATCAACAAGTTCAACAGGTAGAGGATACACTATATGGTTAAAATCAGTTTAGAACTAGTATGGATTTCCTTTAAATTTAAAGCTAATCAATTAGTTTTTCATCTGTTTTTTATCATTCAAGCCAACTTTAGGTTGAATTATTTTTATTTTAGACAGGGTGGATATAAATGTCTTTACTTTAGCTTCTGTAAATTGGACTCAAAACATCTCTTCCTAGAGCTAAAATGGGAAAAAGTATAGAAGTAGGAAGAAGTTGTTTCTCAAAATAATTGGGAAATATGATATGTCTATCAAGTAAGCATTAAAGACTTTTTTATGAAGTATTTTAAAAATATATGTAATATCTGTAATAAAATCATGTTTTTTGTCAGTGTATAACAGTTCATGAATTGGAATAGACATGGTAACAGGTCAGCCAATAGGGACTCTTTGGTGATTCAGACAGTTTGGAGCCAGGGCGTGGCGTAGCTTGACTGTTATGTATAAAAGAGTTGGTTTGTCCTTGCGTTATTGCATTATTGCTTCTGTACTTCTGGAGTCTAAGTTCTGGTTCTGGCTTCTGCTGTATGGGCATTGTATACATGTATCATGCTTTATATTTCAGATATAAAGAGGTTTCTTTTATACATGAATCCTGCTGATTTATTTACTTGTATGTTGGTTGGATTGCTGCAAACTCTAACAGGTTATGGGCCCAGAGCACACCAGACACAGTAAAACTGAATTGTAATTAAGTTGCAGGACAGCCTGGGTTATAAGTAAAAGTCTGAGAAGGCTTGCAGGATAGCTGTTGATTTCGAGGAGAGCTCTCTGTCTCGATTGAGACAGAAGAATTAAATTATTTGGGCTGCAAAGATGGAATGCTTCCTGAAGGCTAAAGGAGCTCTGGGATATTGTTATTAATCCACCCCAAACACCATTACTAGCAGCAGATCAAAGGCACTATGATAAGGCACTGGCCTACATCATCTTAAGTTTAGAAGATGAACAATTCCTGAATGTAGCTAATTTAAAAACTGTAAAGGAGGTGTAGGAAGTTAGCACCCACCCCTCTCCTAGGAAAATGAAATATTCTAGGAAATATTAAAAATGCAGAATATTATATTTAAAGGAGAAACCAAGGCTGGGTCAGATTATCTACAAAACAAAAGACATGGCCCTCAGAACATGATAGGATTAGCCCTTACTCAAGATTCAAATCATGAGACCAGAAGCATTGCAGTGAGACTGGCTAGAAAATAGCAGGCTCCGATGAGCTCCATGAAAATTCAGCCAGACAAACCACTGTTGGGGGGTCTTCAGACCAGACCCCTCCTGTAGGGACAGTGAAGAAGGAGAGGCACCTTGGACAACCAAGAAGAACAGGTACGTTTCTTGAAAGGTCGGAGGCAGTTCTTCAAACTGGCAGCGGGGGTGGCGGCCATTAAAAACAACCGCTTTGAAGCAACAGGAATAAGATTTTGTGCAGGAGCGATATCTGAATGGAGTACTGGTACCAGGTGAGTGATTGGCCAACTCATAGGTAAAAAAGGAAATTAAAAAAAAAACTTTAAAAGGTGTCCCGGCAAGGAAACGAGCAGCTAATTGGCACTTGGGAATTTTAATGGAGGGAGAAGAACAAAGAGAAAGTTAAAGTATTAAAGCCCCAAAAAGAAAACTTTATATTTGGATTTAAAATTTGATTTGGAGAAATTAAAACTAATACAAGAAAAAGAAACCCGAGGGAAAGCACTTTTTAATGAGGATTTGAATTATTCTTGGCAGTTTTGACATTTGAAGGAAGAACAAAGAGGTCAAAACCCCTAGTTACTCCCATATAACACTTCTCCTACGTGAGTGCACTGGTTACCAGTGGTTCTCCGGGTCCGCTTCAAGGTGCTGGTTCTCACCTATAAGGCCCTACATGACTTAGGTCCGGGATATTTGCAGGACCTTCTTCTGCCTGCCTCTCACCGTCCTGTTCCCTCACATAGGGCTGCTCTCCTCAGGGTTCCGACAGCGAGCCAATGTCGTCTGGCGGCACCCAGGGGTAGGATGTTCTCTGTGGGTGCTCCCACCCTCTGGAATGAGTTGCCTACTGAGCTCCAGATGGCTCCTGATCTCCACTCCTTCTGTCGGGACCTGAATACTTGGCTGTTCAAGCAAATAGGCTGACTCTGATTCTGGGTTTTATTATTTATTAGTTAATTTGGTTTAAAATGGGATTTTGTTGTACATGTTTTTAACTTATGTTCGCCACCCTGAGTCCTTCTGGAGAAGGGCAGCATATAAATTCATGAAATAAATAAATAAATAAAATATTAAAGCCTAAGAAAGGAAATTTTACAACTGGATTTAAAACTGATTTTGGAGAAATTAAAAACACTAAAAGGAAAAGAAAGCTGAGAGAAAGTATTTTCTATGTGGATTTAAAATACTTTTGTAAGCTTGATACTTTGTTGTTCTGAGAATTGTGGATTGGAGAGAGACATCTGTTGGTGGAAAGAAAGCACTATAATGACCAGCCTGAAAATTGAAGGAAATAAATAGCAGTGACCTTGATCACTAAGAAAACTGTGAGAAACTTTAAGGAGTGTTTGGTTTTTTTAAAACTGCTCAGTCTTGACTTTTAAAGGAGGTGAAAAACAAAAAAGCTTTAAATTGGAGTGGATTGAACAAACATTTGAACTGGATATTATCTGGAAATAAAAAAGAGACTATATGGACTTAAATCTTAATTAAATATAAGTTAAAATATCAACAATTTTTTTAAATTGACAACATGGAGTCTTGGATGTGCGTGGAATTAATTGAGATGTTTAAAAACATGCATGAATCATTAAAGGGCAATAAAAAGTCAGAAACTTTTTATTCAGAAACACATAAAACAGGAAAAAGAGAATATGAGAAGCAAGAAAGTAATATTGAAGGAAAAGGAATTGAAGGTAAAAAGTTAGATGATTACACTAGGATTTACAGTGTTAAAAAAAGAATGGATAGGGGGGAATATTCCCCAAAAAATAATCCATCAAAGAGAAAGAAATGGAAGAAGATTAGGTAAAAGCTTGGGGAGAATTATGCGAGTAATAGACTCAAAAGTTAGAGAAAGGATTCAGGAGAAAAGATACAATAAATAATATAAATATAAATAGAAGTAGAAGTAGAAATAGAAATAGAAAAGAGAATTGTATGAAGGGAGAAAATTACTAAGAAGTGGAATTTTGGAGATTCCAAGAGAAATCTGGTTAAAAGGGGAAGAATAGCGGAAAGGAGGAAGGGAAATAAAGTATATAGTAGTAGATCCAAGGAAACTGTATTAACATTAGTAATTGTGAATGTAAGAAGCAAATATGATGATGTATATTGTTTATTGTAAAATGGAATAGCAGATGAAATATGAAGTGGCAATTTGGTTCAATTATGAAAATAACTGAAATCAAGAGACAAAATTGAAATGTTAAAAAGTGTGATGAGGATTTTGAAAAAATATGTTGTAAATGATGAAATAAAATAAGTAATTGATGCTATAATAAGAAATTAGGAATTAAGAACAGATAGTGATATTGCTTATTATGTACTAAGAAGAGATTAAGGTAAGATATGGAAGATCAATTAAGTTAAAGGGTTTCAATGTAAGAATTGAATAAGATGAAGTATATTGTTTATAGCCACAAAGTATGATTGGGATTTTGAGAAACATATTTTATAAATGGAGAAATAAGATAATTAATTGAAGTAATGCTAAGAAATTAGGATTTGAAGGGCAGATGGTGAGATTGTTTATATATTATGTATTAAGAAAAGATTAAAATAAGATAAAAAAGTAGGGGAAAGAATATTATGGCAGAAATTGAAATATGTAAATTGTATTTGGAAAAAACAGAAAAGATTGGAATAGATTATAAAAAATAATATATAACTATGTTATAAGTTGTATAAGATGTGACACGGTCAATACTCTGTTCATAAAATATGAATGTGAAAGAAAAATTTAATAAAACTTGTTTAAAAAAAAAAAGATCCAAATCAGGACAAGGCTATTAAGCCATAATAGGAATTGCCCCAAACCCTTTCATTACATCATCACTAAGCAAGATTCAACCAGGCCTGGACTCAAGACAACCTACAAAGTTACCCCTGCGTGGCCCCATGGGAGTCTGACAACCAATCAGAGTACATTTCTTACATAGGAACAGGAAGCTTCAAGGTGGGCCCCAAAAGAGGATATAAATCTCTCTCCCCTTCTCACCCATGTGCTCTTTTTTGCCAAGAACCTCAAACCATGTGGTCCTGTCCACCATTAAACCATCTTTCCAAGCAGTCTCCATGTTTCCAGTGTAATTCTTCCCACTTGGAATTGAACCCAGATGGACGTTTCTTCCAACAGAGGTTTGGCTGAAATTAAGAAGTGTACATGTGAGTGTGTAAGCATGCAATATTGTGCAATTATCAAGACAATTGTACAGAGCCAGACTGTTACCACAAGAGAATGTGGAGAAGCATTTGCTGCAAATGCAAACTTTATTTATTGAATTGGAACAGCGTGGAATGCAGATTCCTGAGTCTCAAAAAGTACTGTCGGTGTTAAATAGTCTTGATGAAACGTGGGACATTGTTTCAGCTGTTTTTGAGTGCAAACCAGAACAGGACTTAAGAATGGAAGCCCTTAGAGCCTGTTTGATTTCTGAAGAAAACAAACTCCATTTTTAAAAAAGCCACGAGGAGAAATTCCTGAGATGGGGGCCCAAGGAGCCCATGATAAGACTCATCTAAAGAAAGACTTTTTGCAAGGAAGAAAGACAACAGATAGACAAGCTGCTGTTGCAAAAGTTAGCTATTGTAATAACAGGGACAAATGGTTAATAAACAGTGGGACTAGTCAAACAATTATTAATAATTCTAAATTGTTTTTCAGAATGGATCCAGCTGGAGGAGATGCAGTAGTCTTAGCACTGGAAAAGGCAGTGTGCTGATTCCATATCTGGAGGAAAAGTTTAGTAACATATTATGTGTGCCTGAAATTGAGCATAATTTGCTGAGTGTTTCTAATCTAGACAAACAAGGTTATGAGACCACATTTGTAAATGGGAAGTGTCTCATAAAACAAAATGGGAATGTATGTACACAGGGCATAAAACAGGATAATCTTGGTGTGTTGCAGGGACAAAAGGTTCAATGTGCCCAAACATTTGGAAATGTGGCACAACATGATCCATGCATTCATATCTTGCATAGAAAGCTTGGCCATGCCAGCTTCAGAGTTTTGCAAAAGATGTAACAGTTTGGAGAAGGATTAAATTTAAAAGGATGTAAAGCATACTTGGACTGTGCAGTATGTAAGTCATTAAAGTCCAAGGCATTTCCTGTAAGCAAGAGTAGCACAAGGAAGACAACAAGAACTCTAGAGCTGGTACATGTAGATTTGGTGGGGCCAATGCAAGCCAATTTGGGAGGAGCAAAGTACTTGCTGGTCATTGTAGATGACTACAGCAGATTTGGGTTCTGCTATTTACTAAAGAGTAAAATAGAGGTCCTACAGAAATTTAAGCAATGGGTAAGCTTTGTAGAAAGAAGGTATAAACAACAGGTATGGCAGCTGCAAACTGACAGAGGTTTAGAATTCATGTCAGCAAATTTTCAACAGTGGTTGGGACAGTTAGGAATAAAACACAGGCCGATTCAACCAGAAGCATTGTGGTGAGACAGTAGGGGAATAGCGGGCTCTGATGAGCCTTGCAAAATCCCGGGATGACAAACCGCTGTTGAGGGGTCTTCAGACCGGATCTGTCTTGTAGGAACAGAGAAGAAGGAGAGGCACCTTGGACGACCAAGAGGAACCGGAAAGTTCCTCGGAGGTCGGAGGAAATTCTTCGACTCGGCAGCGGGGGCGGTGGTCATTGTGGCTGCCATAAAGTGGGGGCAACCGGACCAAGTTCTGAGCAGAAGCGGTGATTTGGACGGAGTATTGATGCCAAGTGAGTATTTGCCAGCTCACAGGTAAAAAAAAAGAAATATTTTTAAATTGTTAAAAGATGCCCCAGTGAAGAAACAACAGCTAATGGGCGTGGGGGACTGTGAAGGAAGGAAGAAGAACAAAATGGAAGTTTAAAGTCATAAAGCCCGAAATGGAATTTGATTTTTGGATTACAATGTGTGGAGATAATTAAAATATTAGAAGAAAAAAACCATAATAGATGAGGAGAGGATTGGGAAAAAATTTAAAATTCTTTTTTGACCACTGAAGGAAGAATAGAGGAATATAAAATTAAAGGCCTGTAACAGACTATTTTTTAAAAAATTGGATTTGGAACCGGATTTTAAATTGGACTTTGGGGAATATAAAATTAAGAAGAAAAAGATAGAAATTGGTAAATATCGATAACGTGGATTTAATAAATAAAATGGATACTTTCTGTTGATTGGAATTGTGGATTGGAGAGAGACACCTACAGGCACTTGTATTTTGGGGAAAAAAAACTTTCTAAAGTGATAAGAGCGGTGGGAACATTTGAGGAGGTTTTGTTTGCTTGTAAGCTGTGTGACCTCGACAATGAAAGAAGGTGGATTATAATAACTTAAAATTGGAACAATGACAACTCGGAAATAACAAAATGGAAATTATTAAAAAGATGCATATATCATTCAAAGCGGAATTAAATGAAATGATTATAATGATGCATGGAAAACCTAAAGCTGATGAACAAATTGTGTTAGAACATATCCAGGTGGATAAAGAAACTATGAATGAGAAGCAAGAAAGTGACACTGAAGATAAAGACGAAGATATTGATTATGAAAAATCAAATGATTATGTGGGGAGTAACAATGAAAAAAAGAGGCGAACTGGGAGAAAAAGGATAAGTCTAGGAATAAAGGGAACTTTAAAGATTACATTGGGATTAACAATGACAAAAATAGAGAGGTTGGAAAGAGACAAGGAGAGAAAGAAGGGGGAAAGAGAAAAAATAGAAAAAACTTGAAAGGTTACACTGGGATTAAGAGTAGGGAAATAAAGCTGAAAAGGAGAAACAGGAGAGCAGATGGAAATACAGGGCAAGCTAGGAGAGTAAAGGACTTTAAAATTAAGGGGGAAGAAAAAATAAGAAAGTGAGAAAATGAGATAAAGGAAGATAGGAGTATCTGATAAAAGGGAAAAGGAAAATATGTTTCATATATTTAGAACTATAAATGAATTGAAGTAATATCTATAAGTATAAATGAATTTTAGTAAGTTCAATATATGAGATAATAATACTTGAATGTTTTTAATTGTAATAATGGAATTTAGTTAAAGCATCTGAAATTATAGTTATTGTGAAAAGGGATCAATGGATTATTAAATAAGAGGAGAAGGTAAAGTTGAAAATTAACTTTGTTTAAATTATATATAAAGTAAGGGAAAATTATTTAGAATTATAAATGAATTGAAGGTATATGAAACTGTAATACTTGGAATGTTTTTAATTGTAATTATGGAATTCAGCTAAAGCATTTGAAATTATATTGTATTGTGAAGATTAAGTTTGTTTATTGTTTAACAAGAAAAGATTAAGATACTATTGGCAATAATTTAAATTAACTTCTAAAATTATTATTATGGTTTATTATGAAGAGGTGTAGACAATATATATATTTGAAAAAGCAATTGAAAAATGGGTTTATTTTTTAAAAAACAATGGGAATTGAGAAATAGAAATGAATGACTTAATATTATAGACTTAAGTGAATTGTAGTAAGGTATTTGATTGTAGTATTTGAATAAACTGATAAAGAAATGGAAAAGAGGGAAGGAAATGGATTATGAACATATAATATCTGTGATTGGAACAATGGAATTTAGGGAAAACACTTGAAATTATATTATGTTGTAAAAAAGGAGTAATAGGAAAATATTTGAATAGGATGATGTAGAGTTAGGGTTAAGTATTAGAAAAATGATTGATTTTAAATCAAGGGTTTTAATATGGAGAGCAATTTAATATGGAGAGGAGGAAAAGAAAAAGAAAAATTGACTAAAATTAGAGATTAGGGCGAATGGTAATATTGGTTATATATCAGAAGAAACAAGGAAAATAAAATAAAAATTAGAGAGAAAGAATGTTATGGCAAAAAGTGAAATACATCAATTGTGTTGGGAGATAAGTAAAAACTGTAGAAATTTGTGACTTGGCCAATACTCTGTTCAGAAAAAATGCATTGTGTTTGTTTGTGTATGTTTGTTAAAAAATAAAAAAAACTTTTATAAAAAAAAAAAGGAATAAAACACAGACGCACAAATCCGTACACAGCAGCTGAGAATGTTGTAACTGAGAGGGGGAGCGGTATCTTACAAACAATGAAGGACTCCCTGCTGGAGAATTCTGATCTGAACAGGTCATATTGGGGTGAAGCTATGTTGACCACTAATTATTTAATCAATAGGCTATGGAGTTCCTCAATTAATGATACTCCGTATGCAGTGCTAAATGGGAGAAAGCCATCTCTGGCATATTTAAGGGTGTCTGGAAGCAATACATGGGTGCATATTCCAAAAGCAATTAGGAAAAAATGTCAACCAAAGGCTAGAAAGCTCAGGTTTACAGGTTATGAGCCTAGCTCAAAGAGTTATTGCTTTAGTGATGGGAGCAAAAGAATAGTTATTTCCAAACCTTCTAGTTTTGCAGAGCAAAATTGGAACAGAATTGATGCCAATTTTTGGGATGATCCACTTAGTGATGGTGACTCACTTAGTGATGGTAACTTAGTGATGATGTCAGCGTTCAGGGAAGAGAAACTGAAAAAGAACAAGAAAAGGAGTCAGGAGAAGATGATGACCTGGATATGAAGCAAGAGAGGATTGGAACACAAGAGCAGTCAATGCCATGCAGGTCAGAGTGATGGAACAAGGGGATTCCACTTGACAGGTATTCTGCTGGTGAGGTTAAGGTGTTTAATGTGTGGTATGAGCCAAGAAACTATCAGGAAATATTGGCACTACCCAAAATTGAACAGGTAAAATGAAAAGAAGTCATGGAAAAAGAAATGCAAGCCATGGGTGAACATAAAGTATTCACATCTATGACTTTGCCACAAGGTTGCAAAGCCGTAGGATGTAAGTGGGTGTACAAAAAGAAAGTACTACCCAACAATGAGGTACAATATAAAGCAAAAATAGTGGCACAAGGTTTTTCACAAAGGAAAAATGTGCAATATGATGAGGTATTTGCACCAATGGTGAAGAGTGAAAGCATAAGGTTGGCACTAACATTGGCAGCGGCATGTGGCCATAAAATTTGGTATTTTGATATAACTACTGCATTCCTCAATGCAGAATTAGAGGAAGAAATTTATATGGTTCAAGCACCAGAGTATGAAAGCAAAAAGCCTAACACTGTATATAAATTGAACAAGGCCAT